GAAAGAGTGAGAGGAGACTGTGTGTGTGTGTGTGTGAGTGTGTGTGTGTGAGTGTGTGTGTGTTCATTCACAAATACTTCTCCACCAGATGTGTAGTTGACACCCCTGTGTATTCAGACCCCGTCCTGGGTGCCGGCTAGACATTCGCCAGCAGAAGAGCCTCAAGTTCTTCACTCACAGGGCTTATGTTCTGGGGGGTGATGGGCTTCGATCAAATGCTTACTCAAATGGATGATAAAATTGCAGTTGTAGGCGCTCCTGGGAAAGAAGGATATGGCCCCTAAGAGAGAGCAGATAATAAGGCACTTGACCTTGTCAGGGTGGTCAGCAAGAGCTGCCTGGAGTTATGTGTGAGGCTGGGGAGAGCGGGGTCCCGGCAGCAGAAGCGGGAAGTCCAGCACAGGGGGAGTGGGCCAGAGCGTGCTTCTCCGGGGCTTGGGCCGTGTAGCCCTTCCAGGAAGGATCTGGGTCTTTGTTCCATGCACAGTGGGAAGCGGTTACATGATTGAACTCGCGGTCTGGCAGAATCACTCTGGTTGACGTGTGTGCTCATGTATGCACGTGGGTACACATCTACATCCTCGCCTCCACTCCCTCCGGACCCCAAACTCCCCAGAAAATTGCCCTGTCGTCAGCTTTTCTCAGATCCTAGGAGACCCTGAGGCCGCAGCTGCCGTGGCCGTTCTGGGTGTGGGACGCTGGCTGTGAGACTCCTGGCGCCTGTCGGGAGATTCTGGTGGGTCTGGGGGCGTGGGTTAATGTGAGGTGTGTCTCGCGGCCCCAGTCGTGGTTCACAGAGAAAGGGGGTTTCGTGGTTCCTCCCCCAGTCTGGTCGGCCCCCTGTCCTGGCCTCGTTTCTGGCTGTCCCGTGGCCTGGTGCTGATCCAGCCACAGCTGGTGCTCAGGCCATAGTCATCAGACGTGCAGGGGAGCTGAAATGGCAGCGCCAGGTATTCTCTCCCTGGGTTCCGGGAGGGGAGCTGAGGAGCTTGGCTGGGGAGTCTGGGATTTTACTCTCTTTGGGATTATATTTGCCCAGAGGGAAGTTTCTGCCCTGTCTTGAATTCTCTATTTGGGAGGACTGTTCCCCCTGCAGCCCTGCCCCACGAGTGCAGGAGGTGAGCGGACAGGGGCTCTGCCACGTGGGTCTGAGGTGGCAGGGGCAGACCACGGGCCAGCTGTGCTGTGAGGTGTGAGGCTGGGGTGGGCAGGGCTTCAGGAGTCTTTGGGAACCTAGCTGCCGGGTCCTGTAAAGCCCACCTTCCTCCCCGCAAGCTGTGCAGTCTGAGGTGCCCCCACTTACGAGTGGGCACTTCCTCTCCCCAGGGACTGGCTTTCTAGGCTAAGGCCCGGGACGGACCTGAGGTATCCCTGCAGCTGATGTGCCACCATCTGGCGTAGCTGTATAGTCAGACCTGACTTGGAGCCCCTGATGAGTGAATTGGGTGACCTTGGGTGAGGTTAGGACCTCAGTTTCCCCATCTGTCAAGTGAGGACGATAACAGGGCCCATCTGACAAGGAGAGAGGAGGGGACAAGTGAGTGGCTGGGGACAAATGTGGGGAGGTCCTTGTGCTTTCCTCTTCCTGGTCGTCAGCTGCTGTTGTCTTTAAGGAACCTGGGCCAGGGCGAGACGAGTGAGGCATTCACTTTGGGATCAGAAACAGCACGGCACTGCATCACATCGGGGCCCCGCTCCTTTTCAAAAGGAAAAATCAGGAGCACCAAGCCTGTCTTTATTGAAAAGCTTGATGTTTTGTTCATCATGATGGATTATTTTTCCCCCGTTAATTTTCATTTCTTAAAAATGATGCTATAAACTCATTTATCTTGGTTCCTGAGTGATTTTGGTGTCCCCTGAATTTTCACATGTGAGGCAAATGCCCCATTCACCTTACCCAGCGTCCCTGCTCTGGTTTTTAAGATCTGTAGAGCAAGGCTGATAAACCCCTGGGATCGAGCGGCTCATCCCAGGCTGAGGGCGTTGTCAGTAGCTGCTGCTCTTGTACCAGAGGTTATGGGATGATGGCTGAGGCGGGGGACCCAGGGCTGGTAACAAAGGTGGGTGGTAACATGCTGGGACCCTGAAGGTGGGTTATCCCCCAGGTGGACCCAGGCCAGGCCCCAGGGAAAGGCCAAACTTATGGGGTGATGCAAGCCTCCCCACCTCCATCCCCTCAAGGGAATCTGTGCTTTTGCCCAGACTGCAGGCCCTTCCCCAGCCTTGGCTGGCTTAATGGGATCTTGCTGGGCTGATCTTGGCTGGGGGAGGTGGGCTCCGGTTATGGGTCTGCCCCCTGGTGGAGGGAAGGGAGGCAGGGAATACCTGGGCCTATGCCAGCCACCCTACCCCGTCCCCACCATCATTCATTTGCTTTTCTAATCCTGCCTTTACACAGTTCGGTTCATGAACTCACTCATCTGCGGGGGCCCTCAGCACCTGGTGCGCCCAGGCCCACAGAGCTGCATGCAACCCAGCCCTGCCCTCAGGGAGCTCACAGTCTAGCCAGAGAGACAAGTGGCAGAGTTAAACCCAGAGGGAAAGGCTATTAAAGAAGAGTCCCACGGTGGTTGCCACACAGTAGATGCCCCTTACTCTGCCTGGGGGTCAGGAAGCCTCCTGCAGAGGGTGGAGTAGACGCCCCTTACTCTGCCTGGGGGTCAGGAAGCCTCCTGCAGAGGGTGGCCTTGGAGCCGAGAGATCTGGAAGACGGGTTGGGCTCTGACGGTCATGTCCCCCGAGGGTTTCCCCACCCTGAGCCTGGCTTGTTGGGGAAGCTCCCAGCCCACAGGCTGGGGCAGGGCCAGGAGATAAGTAGGAGGGTACCCGTGGCAGGAGGCTGCACCCCCAGAGCCGGTATGCTCAGGTTGACCACATGTGGGTGTAGGGTAGGGGAGACGGGAGGCAGGAGGGCCTCCCCACTCATGGCCCTGCTGTCTGGGTTGCTGGAGTTGGCTGGACTTGAGGTGCGGGGCCTGAGGCCACCCTGACATCCCTGGGCTGGACAAGGATGTAGGCAGCTCCCCTGTGTCCCCCCGGCCAGGCTGCAGGGGCAGCTGGGAGCGGCCCCCCACTAACTGCCCCTTTCTCCTTCCAGGTCCTGGGCGCGGTGATCCTGGGCTTCGGGGTGTGGATCCTGGCCGACAGGAGCAGTTTCATCTCTGTCCTGCGTAAGGATCCCTCTGCTCCGCCTGCCTCTGAAAGGGGGCCGGGGCAGCAGGCGGGGCTGCTACCACGAGTACTTGAACCTCAACGCCGGTCCCTTTTCCAGCTGCCCTCAGGGTCTCGCTTAGGTCCCGCATGCTGACCATTCCGCCTTGGGCCTCGCCCAGGTCCTGCATGCTGACCGCTCCGCCTTGGGCCTCTCTGCAGGGGTTTCCATAAGGAATTTTCTCTCCCTCCCCAAACAAAGCTGCTGTTGTCTGGAGAACACTGGGTGGGGGATGAGGGAGGCTTGTTCTCCATCCTGGCCCCCTCCCTCTGCCCTGACCTGAGAAAGCCTCTTACATCCTCAATTCTTCCCATTTGCCTGCTCAGCAAAACATGGCCAACAGCCCCTCCCCTTCCTAGTTCAGAAAAAGGGCCGGGAGTGGCAGATCGTCAAGTATGCGTGAAGCGCCTACTGTGTGCCTGGCACCAGCCAGGTGGGTCAGGCAAGTGTGCTGACGAGGAGGTGCCGGGCCCGGTGTCTATCGTTTGTGATCATGATGTGCCAGGCATGGAGCCAAGCATTTGGCATAGATAAACTGTCTTAATCTCACAACAGTCCTGTGCAGTAGCAACTTGCTGCCTTACAAATGAAGAAATGAGGCTCAGAGAAGTAACGTCCCTCGCTCAAGTTCACCCAGCCTCTGAGTGATAGATGTGGGACTCGAACCCCCAGAGCTTTGGTCCTAAATGCTGCACATGGTAGGGGAAGCCCCTTGTCTCACTCTTGAAGCTGGAGGAAAAGAAGCCCAATGATGATGATGAGCACCCTTTCCAATCTACTCACGGTCACCTCCAGGAAGTCTGCCAGGCTTGCTGCACTAGCGTCTAGTGGATGTCCTGAGGAGGGAGGGAAGCAGAGCAGAGCACAGAGATGCCACTCCCCTCAGCAAGTGCGACCTTGGCTCACTTCCCCTCCCAGCAGCTGCCCTGCCCAAGGCAGCAGGTTTGGACTCAGGCCCGTGACAGCTGCTTGATTTGAATGAAACGGAACCAGGCTAGGATGGGTGATGGAGGGGCCCTGGGGGCTAGGCCTCCCCTCACACATGAAGGGAAGCAAGGAAGATCCACCCTCCAGCCACTTCCGATGCCATCTGGGGCTGTCAGTCCTCACTTCTGCTGGGGCTGCTCCCCATTCTGGGGCTAAGGTTTAGGTTTCCAGCCCCATGCCCTCCCCACATGGGACACATCCTCCTTGGCCCTGCTCAGCCCAGGCTCCTGCTTCCTGGGCTGTGGCCCACACCCAGCGGGCACTGCATCTCGGGGCAAAGTCTCAAGGCCCAGCCCGCCCACTGCGTTTGCGCCCTCTGCACCCCGACTGGGGCTCCGGGGACGTCCTGCTGCTCCTCCCTGTTCAGGGCTGAGAATCTCAGGCTGGCCAAGCTTTAGAGGCCCCCTGGATGCACCCAAGGGCTTTTACAAATACTAAGGCCTAGCCCCACCCTAAGGGATCTGACTTCAAATCAGCACTGAGGTTTTTAAGAATCTTCCCAGGGGTTCCCTGGGCAGCCAGAGTTCAAAAACACCAATCTGCTAGCCCGGTCACTATACCCTTGGGTAAACTGAGGCTCAGAGAAGAGGAGAAAAAGACTCGCTAAGAGTCACACAGCAAGTGAGGGTTGGAACTGGGAACCTAGGGCCTATTGTGTGCCAGGCCTGCGTGGCACGGCTCTTCGCTTACCAACTGAATCGTCTCCGTGAGTCCATGGGGCTAGGCATTACTAACCCCATTTTACAATGGAGGAACTTGAAGGGAAGGGAAGGAACTTGTCCAAGGGCACACACACAGCTAGAGGGTGAGGGAGCTGGGATGTGAACCAGGGGGCATGGCTCCTGAGACCCCATCCCCTGTACCACAGGGCTCTGCAGCACGCCACGCATTCACACCGTAACGAGCGGAAGCAAGCACAGTGGTTAAGGGCACAAACCGTGGAGCCGGGCAGCCAGGGTTCCCATCCTGGCTCTGCTATCTACTAGCTGTGTGATCCTGGGCAAGTTACTCCACGCTCTGTGTCTCCTCATCTGTGAAATGGAGACAATAACAGACAGTATGTCATAAGGCTATCGTGAGAAATGAGGCGAGTTAATAACAGTTTCTAGTAAATAGTAAACCCTACATAAGTGATTGTTAAATTAGTTTATAATACCATCTGAACCTTAGAACATCTTTAAGAAGTAGGAATTAGTTTTATTTCACAGAGCCAAAAATAGAGGCCCAGAAAATGGCTTGCCCGGGGTCAGAGCCTGTTAGCAGCAAAGCTGGGATTAAGTGGCACCCTCTTCTCGTGCTCCTCAGTCACTTTCAGTTTGGGCCACTTCCTCCCCACCTCGCTGGTACCTCCAAGGCCCAATAAAACGAAGAAGATGCTGGTCTTGGTGCACAGTGGGCGGGCTACCCCACTCCTTCCTAAGTCAGGTTGCTCAGATCAGGGCCAGCCTGAGACCCAGGAGGAAGACAGGGACTGGTATTGATGAAATTTTCTGAGAAAAGAGAGACGCCACACCGCAGCTCGGCTGGCCTCCCAAGAGAAGGACCCGAGTGGGGGTCTCAGCCTCCAGCCTTGCCCCTTGGGCCCCATCTGTGGCCTCTTGCCTGCTCTGGGCCTCTGGGCCCTTACAGACAGATCAGGGTGCAGATCTACCCTCATTGGGCCACGGCAGAAATTCAGCAGGCTGGTTTGGATAAAGGGCCTTTTTCAGGGCTGGCACACAGTGGATTTCCAGGCAGTGCCACTTGCCTTTTGATGGGGAAAGTATTCGCTGGGAGGGCTTGTTGGAACCCAAACCCAGGAAGTTTAAGAAAAGCAAACTTGGATGGCCTTCCCCTGCTATTGTGGATGGCTGAGAGCCAGGGCAGTGAGGGCCTGGAGTAAAAAGGAAGCCCCTCACTCAGCCCCTCGGGGCCTCTGTCCAGCTCCTGGGGGCTCCTGTGAGGAGCTGAGTGGGGGCCTCCCTGCCCCGGTGCCTGAGAGTGGAGTGGGCTGGCCAGGGCTTTTCCTGAGCTCCAGAACATTCTGTCTGTGCCCAGAAGTGGATGGAGCTGGATCACACTTTCCTACCCACCCACACTCCAGCTTTGTCGTTATTCCTTAAGGGCCCTAATGCCCCGTCTGTGGTCGAGGTGGGGATCTCAGCCCCTCTGAGGTGCCCCCAGGGAATGGTGGTCAGTCAGCCTATTGACGGGCAACCGTGGCAGCCCTGGCTGTGCCCGAGACATCGGGGAAGCACGTTCACCATGCAGATTCCAGACCGTCTCCTGGAAAGTCTGCCTAGCTCTGACAGACCCGGGAGTCTGCATCCCTGAGAGGTCCTCCTGATCTGCTGAGGCTCTCCGGGATGCTCTGCACCCTTCTGGAAACACCCCACACCCTGAGAGTGCCGCGCCAGCCTCCCTGGAGTGCCTGGGCTGTCAGGGGAGAGAGCCCACAGCGCCCTGCCTGCAGGGGGGCGCGTCCACCTCAGTCCACCTAGCGCGTCACAGCCTCAGGGTAGAGGGGACCCCACGCACCCCACACCGGGGAGCTGGAGAAGGTCATGAGCATCTCCCTGTGTGATCCGTTGGGATTCTTGGGAAATGCTGGCCAAGTGCCCCGACGAAACTTCTGACCTCCACCTACCCCGGGGGCTCTGTTATTGCCTTTAGGCCCCTGTCTCTCCGCCTCAGGCGTGTCGCCTGTCAGACTCCTCTCTCACTCACTCTGATCCGTTCTTTCTTACCTTCTTTTTATTTTTCAAACACGCCAAGCTTACTCCTTCCTCAGGCCTTTGCACCTGCTGTTCCCACGGCCTGGAATGCTTTTCCTCAGGTCTTCACTCGGCTGACTGCTTCATTCTCAGCTGAGCAATCATGTCACCTGTTCAGACCAGCCTTCCCCCACCACCCCGGCCCCTCCCTGCCCACGTCCTTGACCTTAGCCAGCTTCAGTAGCTTCCCGACCCTTCACACAGCCAGAGGAGACACTCCTCACCCCATCAGCTTCACGGCGTGGGGACCTCGGCAGGCTGACGGCTGTATCCCCAACAGGTGGCACAGCGCCTGGCATATGGTGGGCCCCTGGTAAATCTTTGGGGGCTGAACACATGAATGGGCGTCACGCCTGTGTCCGTACACGTGCCCGGTGCTTCAGTGCAGAGTGTGGCGCTGGGGATTTGCCTGTCTCCAAATCCCAGCTCTGGCCCATGCTTGCGTGCATCTCTGAGCCTCAGTTTTCTCATCGGTGAGATGGCCGTGCTGGTACCTACTGGGTAGAGTTCTGGCAGAGGGGAGGCGGCACATGTGAAGCCCCTGAGGCCTAGGGAGTGGGCAAGGGAGGCCGGCATTTGTTCACGGATGAGGAGGGAGGCAGGCAGGCCCTCAGCATCTGTGGCCTCAGCGGAACCTGCCAGTCTGTGGTTCTTTCATTCAACAGTTATTCATACAGCACTTTGCTGTGCCAGGCACAGTTCTGGGGGCGGGGGGGTCAGCAGGGACCAGAGACCCTGCCTTTGTGCAGCTCACAGGCTTGTGGAGGCAGCAGACAATGAGCAAGATAGGCCAGTAGAACGAGAGTCTTTTCAATCCTGGGTTTCAGCAGGGACCAGAGTCCCTGCCTTTGTGCAGCTCACAGGCTTGTGGAGGCAGCAGACAATGAGCAAGATAGGCCAGTAGAACGAGAGTCTTTTCAATCCTGGTAAGTGCTAAGGAGAAAAACGAAAGCGGGGGACGGTTGGGAGGTGGGGATAGGATAGATGGGGGGTGGGGCGCACATCTAGGGGAGGCAGCTTCCGAAGCTGGTGAAGGAACAGGCTTCCGGCTGGATGGCTGACCCCAGAGCCCTGACCCCAAGGCAGGGATTTGGTAGCAGCCCTGCCCCGGTTTTGTAGTTAAATACGGGCGAGATAGGCAGGCTGAATCGGATGCATTGTCCACCCGCAGAAACCTCCTCCACCTCGCTCAAGGTGGGGGCCTATGTCTTCATTGGCGTGGGGGGCTTCACCATGCTCATGGGCTTCCTGGGCTGCATTGGTGCTGTCAATGAGGTCCGCTGCCTGCTGGGGATGGTGAGTATGGTCCTCCACCACCGCCCGCCCAGCCCCCCTCATCCCGCCCAGAGGGGCCTGAGTAGAGCCCCGGCCCAGCCTGGGTGAGAGCGTCTGAGGCGCTTAGGACTTGGTGGGAGCCCCCAGCTGACTCTGTGTCTGCTCTGTGTTCCCAGTACTTTGCCTTCCTCCTCCTGATTCTCATCGCCCAGGTGACTGCTGGGGTCTTATTCTACTTCAATATGGGCAAGGTAAGCACCCCCTCGTCCCCACCCCCGACCTGGGCTGGGCCAGCCACGTGGGGTGGGGGGTAGGGTTGGCCTGGGGACGGGGGCTAGGCAAGAGGCCTCTTAGTCGTCACAGAGAAACCCATAGGTGGGGAGTTTCCTGGCGGTGCAGTGGTTAGGACTCGGCACTTTCACGGCCAGGGGTGCGGGTTCAATCCCTGGTCAGGGAACTAGGATCCCGCAAGCCATGTGTTGCAGCCGAGAAAAGAAAAACCGGAAACCCATAGGTGCCAGGTCAGCCTCCCAGGCTTCCAGCCCCCTGTGGTCACGTGGCGGAATGTTAAGAGGAGAGGACAGTACAGGTCGGTGGAGTCGCTGCTGGGCCCAAATCTTGGCTCGATCCCACCACTTTCTAGCTGTGTGGCCGTGGGCAAGCTGCTTTCCTCTCTGTGCCTGTTCCACCTTCTGTAAACTGGGGACGTTAATAAATTTAACTCTCAGGGTTTCTGTGATGATTCAGTGAGATGATCTTTATCTTAGCAAAACACTTAGCACAGTTCTCGGCACCTCATCCACAGATGAGGCCCAGGGAGGAGACTGTCAATGAAAACATTATTCCCGTGTCAGCGGGAAGACACTCAGCGTTGAGGAATAAAAAATCAGACATGCTGGGGCTTCAACTCTAAGGACATTTGTTGTTGACTGAACCAGAAGTCAGGTTCGGAAGCTCGGAGGCCCTGGTTCTGGCTGTCTGTTCAGCATCCTCATCGTGACGGCTTTCCTTCCTCTTGCCACTCACCTCATGGCCGCGAGATGGCTGCCACAGCACCAGGTACAACATCTGTGCTGCTGTGGCGTGAAGAAAGGGAGTGGGGTAGTGCCAACCATGGCCACCCCTTTTATCAGAAAAGCAATCCTCCCAAAAGTCTCCCCCAGTCTGGGTTATTAACACACCCCTAGCTTCAAGGGAGGCTGAGAAAGTGAGTATCCAGCCTTCAGGCTCTAAAGACAGAGACATAAGAGAGGAGGAAGCTGGCGATGACTATTGGGCCTGCCAGTCGATTGGGCCTGCCAGTCGATTGTGGCTATTGTGGAGCACCTACTCTGTGCACGTGGTATTTTCTAGAAGCTTTATACACATTGTCTCGTCCTCCCAGCAGCTCTGCCGTGTAAGTGTTATGTTGACGGGCAGAGAAGCAGATGCCCAGAGAGATGAATAACAACGACAGCATCAGTAGTAGTGACGATAACCCCTCATCCCTAATCTCTCTTCGGCACACACCAGATATTGGGCGCAGTGTTAGCCACTTTACGTTCCTTCTTTCCCTGAGCCTCACCTCCTCATCCTTCAGGTGAGGGGTGAGGGCACAGAGTGGTCAGTGGCCAGGCCAGGTGAGAGCCCAGGCTCCCTGAGGCCAGTCGGAGTTCACCCACGGCTCAGCTGAGGCTGGGACCCTGCTTTCCTCCAGGGCTACAGTTCTTGTCCACTGACTGGGCTGGCAGAGCCGGCGGCCAGGTGATCTCCTACATTTTACCACTTGAAGGTCAAGTTGCCACAGATCTCTCTTGGAAGGAAGCTGAGAAAACATTACAGCAACATCAACAACTAATGCTTAATAGAATTTAGAACAAGCCTGGCACTAAACGCTTTGCATATACTGCATTTAATTATTCGTTCCTCACAGCAAGCCTTTGAGGTCATGGGTATGAATACCCTCACTTTCAGATGTGGAAGCTGAGGCACAGAGAGGTTAAGTCATTGGGCCAGAGGTCACACAGCTAGTAAGTGGCAAAGCCAGGATTTGAACCCTGGCAGCCTGGCTTCTGGGTTCATGCTGGTGAAATTTTCATTATAGTGGTTCCTACCTGAATCTGCTTTACTTATTTATAATCCACCCAGCCTGTTTCCCAGGAGAATTGGAGCTGGCTTCCAACATAGGCATAGAGCAACTAAAATCAGTATGAGAAAGATCTGAATGCACACTGAGACAGAAGAAGGCCATTGTTCCTGAAGCTAGGGGACAGCATACTCAACAGCAGCTGAGAGCTAACTTGAACACTGAGCTTCCTGGCAGCCAGGGCAAAAGGGGAAATAGCAGTTTAGTAGATGAAGTTCGCTTGGTGCCAGACAGAAAGCCAGTGTTTAGGGAAGGGAGACTACTTTTCCAGTGCAAGGACTATGGGATTAGGTCTTCATTTCCACCCTGTGGCACCTGGAGCTTCTCTGGGACCCAGTCAGTGGTACGTTACAAAGAGAGTGGTTAAGAACTGGGCCCCATTGAGCAGGTTCCTGTGACTCAGAAGCTGGTCAACATGGCAGGGGTGTCAGGCAATCCACCTTTTCACCCCTGTGTTTCCCCATCTCACAGTAATAGAGACGGTGCCCATCTGTGAGCGCCAACCATGTCCCAGGGGCTGAGCTAGTCACTTGGCGCACGTTTTAGTTTTGAGAGCACTTTCAAGTTTAAGAAACTGAGGCCCAGAAAAAGAGTGGCTTTGGGCCATGGTCACACTCAGCTCAGAAGCATCAGAGCAGAGATTTCCATCTCCATCCCTCCGACCCAAGGCCATGCCTTCCTCTACTCCATGCTCCTCCCCTCGAGCTGGTATAATCTGCCAGGCTGCTGACAGGGAGCCATGCCTTAGAGGCGCTCCCCCGGCCCCAGAGCAGGGCTTGTTCGGAGAATCAGATCTCCTGACTCCAGTCCAGGCTGTGTCTGTCGTGGCACCTCACCGTCCCCTCCTGTGCTTCCCCGCAACCCCCAGGCTCCACACCTCACACCTCCCGCCCCCAGCCCCAGCTGGCCTCACCTTGGCCCACCTCCTTTTCTGGAAAGCAGGGGGAAATTTCCTGGCTTTGCTGGGGAAGTTCTGGCGCCACTCGATCGCCCGAGTTGGAATGAATGATTTATTTTTTCTTTCCTAGCGCATTGTAAATCCCAGTGGAAGACTAAACATGCCCTGGTGGTGTTTATTCCTGCAGACGAGGCCCAGTTGGGGAGGTGGGACTTGTGTGAGCCTGAAGGAAACAGGCTCTCTGGAAGACGATGGGTCCAGTCTTCCTTCTCTCTCCAGGCCTCCTGGGCGGGGGGGAGGGACTGAGCCTCTGGGCTCTCCCTGAGGTGGTCCCCAGGGCCGCCATCTGTCCTTCCTCCCAGCAGCCACTGTTCCCAGGGCAGCAACAAGGGAGGCTGGGTGCCTTGGGCAAAGCACAGGCCTTCCAAGCCGTGGGTTCTGCGCCTGTCAATGGAGGAGGATAGAGCTGGCTGGCCCCCACCCCTGCCAGGGTTGCAGGGAACCCAGACTGCAAGGCTTGTAGAAAATATAGAGTGGTGGCCCAGGGCCTGGGCCCCAGAACCAAACTGCCCATGCTGGAGCCCTGCTCTGACACCCTCGGCAAGTTACTCAGCCTCTCTGTGCCTCAGTTCCCTCCTTTGTCAAATAGCAGTAATCCTACAGGTCTGCTCTCACTTATCTGCGATTCCAAAGTCCAAAAAACACTTTGAAAAACAAAAATGCCATTTGCAACTCATTTGGTGGCAAAATGGAGCCTGAATGGAAATGAGCTTGTTGATGGCCATGGTTTACCCCCTTTAGGTGCCCCTTGGGAAATATGAATGGGAGAGATTGTGGGGGGGTGGGTGACACATAGCTCCCAGCCCTTCCTAAAATCTGAACGTTTCTCAGTGCCAGAGCCCACTGGCCCCAAAGGCCACCTGATAGCGTGGTGGCAAGGATGGAGAGCATTGACAGATGGGAAGGGCATAGTGTCCGCCTGGTGCAGAGCAGATGTTTGCTGGCATTGTTGCAAGAGTTTATTATTACTGTCACCATTACTAACTTCACTAATGCCTAGTAAGGGCCCAGTAAATGGCAGCTGTTCCTGTTGTCACCAGTATTAATGTTCGTATTAGCGAGGGCTGTGGGAACCAGGATTTAGGTGTGGAGTTAAGATTCCTCTGGCTGTTTCCTCATCTGATCATTATCTAGCCCCCGTTTAGTGGGAAAAGGACAGGTCTGGGATTCAGGGCCCTGTGTTCGGGGTGAGGGGTGCCCGCCGCTATTTGCTGTGTGACCTTGAACATGTTACCCAGCCTCTCTGAGCCTCGGGTGACCTCTTGGGCCATTCCCAGCTCTGACACTTGTTCTCTCCGGACAGTGAAGGGTGGGAGGTCAGTGAGGAAGGAGGTGAACTTGTAACTGTTTCCCAGGATGTGCTGGGAGCTGGGTTTGGTGCACTCACGCAGGCTGCACCACTGACCTGCACGTGTGAGACCGCTGAGGCTCTGAAAGGTTATATCGGGGGCTTGTGCAGAAGGTCTGAGGGCTGAGAGCGTGGAGGGAAGGGGCTCGCAGGGTCTCGGTGGGAGCCGGGGGTTGGGGGTGGTGACCTTGGCTGGGCTGGACTGCTGTGTGCTCCCCAGAGAGGGTGGCCAGTCAGGAGAACTGTGATTCCCTCCCTCCTCCTTCCCTCTCCCACATAAGAAGCCCGAAGTAGCCAAATAGCCATGCGCATAGGACTGAGTGCACACGTGGTAAAACGTGTTTCTTGAGGACAGTGCCGCTCTGTGAGACATCTGAGATGTCTGTTTCCCTGCGGTGGAAGCTTCCTTATGCACTAGCTTGGGTTTCTACTGCCATAGGGAGGCAGCTGGAGCCAGGACAGGGGGAGGCGATGGGGATCTTTCTCTTCCCTTTTGGGGAGAGGGGAAGAAGGCGTCCAGGCTGTCCTTCTGGAAAGGAATGTGGAGAGCAATGGGCGGAGACTCTCAAGCACCTGCGTGCCTGGCTCCCAAACCTGACTCAGGCCCCACCCTGAGGGAGCCTATGCGGGCGGGCACGGGAGCACACGTGGCCCTCCTGCTG